CTTTTCCTAAGTTTGTTTATCAAAATGAACTAATATACTTCTTTGTTGTAAAAGTAGTGACATCGATTGACAGTGGAGCAGATGTAGGTGAGATTACTGATGTCCTACATTTCCTACACGAGTCACTATTATAAGTGACCTGGCAGGAAGGTTTAGTGTTGAATGGCATTTGAAAACGATCCAAACACACAGATCCTCCATAGACTTACATTTGAATAGAGCACAGGCCTGTCTGATATTGCAGGTGGTGATTGGTGTGTAATGTTATCAGGTAAAGGGTCAGTCAGTCAAGAGTTACATTTTGTTATTTAAGGGTCTTGTGTTGATTTTCCTCAGCTCTCTCTAAGGAGCCAGTCTCAAAGGAGGAGACGTCGTGGGCCCAGCGAGGCCTCGTGTGTGTCCGCTGTAACAGGAAGGGCTCGGTGGTGGACTTCCTGTCTGACGGACTTCACTGCAGTGAGCGCTGTCTGCAGCAGGAGCAGCAAGAGTAAGTCCTGCACTGTACTAAGCCCACTGCGAAAAAGTCAAGCATCACTGTCACTACTGATCATATGTGACCCTGGAACAAAACCAGTCATAAGGGTCAAGGGTTTTTCGAAATTGAGATTTATACATAATCTGAAAGCTGAATAAATAAGTTTTCCATTGATGTATAGGACAATATTTGGCTGAGATACAACTATTTGAAGATATCTGGAATCTGAGGGTGCAAAAAAATCTAAATATTGAGAAAATCATCTTTAAAGTTGTTCAAATGAAGTTCTTAGCAATGCATATTACTAATCAAAAATTAAGTTCTGATATATTTACGGTAGGAGATTTACAAAATATCTTCATGGAACATGATCTTTACTTAATATCCTAATGATTTTTGGCATAAAAGAGAAATGTATAATTGTGACCCATACAATGTATTGTTGGCTGTTGCTACAAATATACCCCAGCGACTTAACACTGCTTTTGTGCTCAGCACACACTGGCCCAGCTGACCAATCACAGCACACACTGGCCCAGCTGACCAATCACAGCACACACTGGCCCAGCTGACCAATCACAGCACACACTGGCCCAGCTGACCAATCACAGCACACACTGGCCCAGCTGACCAATCACAGCACACACTGGCCCAGCTAACCAATCACAACACACACGGGCCCAGCTAACCAATCACAGCACACACTGGCCCAGCTAACCAATCACAGCACACACTGGCCCAGCTAACCAATCACAACACACACGGGCCCAGCTAACCAATCACAGCACACACTGGCCCAGCTAACCAATCACGGCACACACTGGCCCAGCTACATTTAACTGTTAATTTCAATTTAAAGTATAGCGTAAACTTACTGAACTGCATTAAAATAACACTAAAAGTCCATTATATTTCACTAATTACACTACTCTTGCTCTAAACCAGGGGTGGGCAAACTTGGCCCTTCCAGGTCACTTTCCTTCAGAGTTTAGCTCCAACTCTAATCAAACACACCTGAACCAGCTCATCATTGTCTTCAAGACTACTAGAAAGCTACAGGCAGGTGAGTTTTATCAGGGTTGGATCAAATCTCTGCAGGAAAATGGCCTGAAAGAGCCAAGTTTGCCCATCCAACCCTCTACGGACACCTTGGCAATTGAATCGCCATTGGCTAGTACATTTTTTAGTTTACTCGCCAGACTGATATATATACAGTGTATATATATATATATATATATATATGTATGTGTGTGTGTGTGTGTGTGTGTATATGTATATAGTAGTCAACATTTGAAGTGGATCAAAAAAAATTAATCAACGTTGTCCTAAGACAAGAACGCATTTTGGTTTTAGGTTTCAGGACAACTTTGATGAAAGGTTTTGATCCACTTCAAATGTTGGTTTGTGATAGAGTTTTAACTGAACTTCGGACTGGTGCTGGTGCTGTTTTGGTCATTCAGTGTTTCTGTACAAAAAAAAAATCGGGAAAAAACTAACAAAAATACTGATAGTATAATAATGATACGAATTCTACTAATAAGAATGATATAAAACGCACCAAGGATTAATGAGCTACTGGATTTATGAATATTAATCAGGTTGTGTGCGTTCCCTCGAACTGATTCGCTGAAATCAAAACAGGGACCATACTAGGTGAGCGCCAGCCAATGAGATTGCTGTTTGCGCATTAGTTCTGCCCACTAGAGGAGAAAGTGTTAGTTCTTAAAAGCTGAAGAATTGCAAAGGAACTCCGTTATTTTGACAGCAAAATACAACAAAGAATATCTCTCTCTCCCTCTCTCTCTGCGTGTGTGTGAAACAAAGCAACGGCGAGTCGTGCGTCTTCACACTAGAGTTTATATTATATTATATTTAGTATTATACGTGAAAAAATTCCGGGTTGCGGTTTTTTGGGCTTATTACTCACACACACACACTCTCACACACACTCACTCACACACACTCACACTCACACACACACGCACACACACACTCTCTCTCTCTCTCTCTCTCTCTCTCTCTCTC